TTAACTGAGTTGATAACGTAAATTTACCACCGTAAATAATTGAAAAGCTGACATTTGGATTATTAGCCATTCGACTATCCCTCTCGACGAAGGGCTAACTCTCGAAACGTCACCTTAAAAACTCTCGACGGTAGTCAATTTACGTTATCAACTCAGCTGATAATACTTAGTCACCCTGTTATACTCTCCGACCTCAGCAACACAGTTTTTTCAGAAACTTACCCCCTTTAGTAATTGACAATATCTGTCATCAGGCTTGCAAAGTAATTATTTATTTAATTATCTTCGTTCCCTTTTTTCGGTAGTTGGTCTTTTGGTGTACTTCTTTGGGAATTGTGCACAATGGGTGAGTAACAACGCCTGATGTATCACAGCAAAAGTATCCAACCTCTTTTGTCACAATAAATACCCTGAGAGAAACCCTTACCTTTAACGCTTGTCTTTCAGTTATAGGTTCGTTTCAGCTGCCTAACTGAATTTTGCTATTTGTGCTGGACTATTTTTACTTCTGCTCAAGTAGTGTTCATTACTGCGAAGATTGCTTTCGTATTCACGTCTTTATCCGCAGTTCAAATATATGACTTTCATATATTCTCAGTCGTTTATGCTGGACTGTGTTACAAATAAATGTGCATGAGAGAGAGGAGAAAGAGCAAAAAAATGATTCAATCAACAACCCTCGACCCCGAGTAGCGTTGGATTGTGAATTTGAATCAAAGAGAAATAGACCTGCCTTTGGGGAAAAAAAGGCTAGAAGCGACCTGGCCGCTGAGAAATATGTTACGTGGTATTTGACATCTGTATTATCTCAAACCTTTTATTAACGAGGGGTCTAAGACTTATCAAGGTTGTTATGAAAACAATCTTTCTAATAACTTTTTTTCCTTCTTCTGATTTAACCTGCATCCAAGGTGGCATCCCCTACCCTGGAATAAGGAACAGAGAGTTATTAAGACTTCTTAAGTCAGGTTATCGAATGGAAAAACCAGCCATTTGCTCTGATGAGCTGTAAGTTTAGCAAATAATCTTTAATTGTTCCATGCAATTAACGTTAATTCAACACCAACTAAATCTTTTCGACTGAAGTTTTGCTTTTTGTCTATTTGACTGAGCGACTCTCTTTTGAAGTTATAGGTTAGGTCTCGCTGAGATATGCAGTTTAGCATCGATGATGATAGTACTCTAGCTAATTCCATTTAGTTGAACAATTAAAAAAAAAAAAGGCTGACAATTGTGACAGAGGAATTGAGATCAATGCCAGAAAATATAGTGTACCAGTATGAGAAACTCTACATGGAAACAAGTGCTTCAGGAAAACATTGATTTCAGGGATAGTTATTTCAGTGAATCACATTGTATACCTATCAAGCTAACCATAAAAGAAAAAATAAGTACCAAGTCTTTTTTTTTTAATTCATTTTGCCATTGTAACATCGAGATGGCCAGAATATTCAACAAGATGTGGTTTTCAAAACAGTTATTAAGCGCATTTGGTGAAGACGCCTTTAAATTGCAATTTGTTTTAAAGCCCGAGGCGAACTTTATCATGTCTGCATTCTCCTTCCTGTGCTTGGTCGTCAGTGTCTGGTCCAACAGTAAACACTGAAGACCATAACTTCCACGTAGCGCCAATGTCCCCGTTGACAGCAGAATACTTTATATCTTATCAGATACGAGTTAATGTTAGACTGTTGGAGGGTAGACCCAGAGGAGAGACCATCATTTAAACAGCTGATAACAAGAATAGAAGAAATGATGACGAGGGACACTCCTTACTTTGATCTGAATGAAGACTATGAAAGCGTTGCCTCTAACACTGAGACGACACCCGAAACTGACCAACCACATGCGTGATTAGTGTTTAGATGGACAACATTTTAAGGAATCTATAGTAATAGTGATAGAAAATAATTATAATTGATAGTAATATAAAATGTTCTCAAAAATTGCATCATTGATAAGAAAGGAAGAAAAGTTGTTAATAAAGGATGAAGTCCCCGAAAGGCAGCTTTAAAACAACAGAAGCTTTGATTTCCTACCAAGAGATTATAATCTCTTGTTTCGTACCTAACATGATTTCGTATCTTACATAACAGTTGTAACATTAGGAATATACTTTAATTCCAGGACTTGAAGGCTGTGGTACGAATGGTTTGCAGTGTTTGAGTATTGTACAAAACAACCCCCTCCCCTCCCCGTTTGCCTCTTTAATTGGAGAAAAAGTGCTCTGAGTGTAACATGACTTACCCTCCTTCCCTCCTGTGTACTCTATCTTTGTCTCAATGAGTCACTCGCTAACCATCCCTGAGTTATGTTTTGTAGTTGCCTAAAATTAAATATCTAAATCCTTTGTGTTTTCCTGTGATGGTCCCAATTTGGTCCCCGAAATATTGTTCTTTTCAGCTTCGTATGCACGTGGAAAAAATGAGAAAACCTCGTCATTCGTGATTTAATTACACTTTCCATGTGACCTTTTAGCAAATGGTCTATAAAGCCAAAGAAAAGTATTCAAGTTCGATTTCGCCTTTTTCCTCTCGCACAGTCTTCGATTCTCACGAGAAGGAGCAACGTCTAATTAGAGGTGGGGCACGGGCTCAATTCTCAAACAGCGGCTGGTAATAATATCCTGCTCAAAATGACAGAAGCAGTAATCGTAATTTTTCGATCGTCATAAAAAAAATGCTTTGTCTATAATAACTGAAGGCCTTGTGACCCTATTATTCCTATAAGTATTCACGCAACTTCTTGACACCATTTCAGGTGATATGGGAATACAAATGTAAGATAGAAGAAACTTACCGGCTGAGTGCGTTATCTCGATATGATTGACACCAGCAAAACGTGTTTAGTTAAGCTAAGTTTAGCTGAATGAAAATCAGAAATAGAGAACGAAAAAAGTGAATTTTGCTTAGGATTCAAGTGGTTGGTAACTTGTATTTTTAATGTGCTAAATTT